TTTCTCTTAAAACGCAAAAAACCTTTGAAATTGTTCCTCTTGAAACACAAAAAAACCTTTGAAAATGTTTCTCTTGAAACATAAAGACCTTCGAGTTCGACTACACTCAGCTCCAAGACACATCATTTGCAACATACCTCAAGGCAAGAAGGGCTATTTACCAACAAAAGACCTTCGAGTTCGATTACACTCAGCTCGAGGGCCTGTCAACCACATGGTGGAGTCAAAGAACTATTTTCCAGTCGAATTTTCCAACCAAGGTCTTTAAACCGAGAAGAAGACCGAAGGGCAACGAGAAGTCGCATCCTGATTCAAATCCCGAACTGCGGCTTCAATTCTATATCATTTTGAGATGGACTTGACTTCGCGACGAATGAGTCATCCACAACTCAATTCGACAGAGAGTTATTCTTGATTGAAATATCAGTCAAATTTCAACTCCACCGGAAAAAAACTTGTTGTTTTTTTTATCTTTGCCCTATTCTTGTTAACACAAAAATGTGCAAAGAGGTGCAGCTGTAGACACCCGTTTTTATTCGAGTTTACAAAAAATATTTATTTATTATTCTTATTATTTTTTTTATTTTTTTTGTAGGTCTACCATATCAACCTGATTACAACCCACTCAACATTCAACAGACCCGGTTCGAGCCAAATAATCTATCTGCCAAACATTAACCAAATCCCATCAACCACTAAACTCACATTCTGTATGTTAAAACAAAAAAACAACCAACCACGCACTAATCCTACTCCACTATTCCCACATGCCCATGAAAATCACTAACTGAGTCACTCAGCTCGACTGGTATTATAAAAGGACACAAACAAAAAGGCAGTAGGGGAGACCCAAAAATCCATTTTTTTTCCTGTTCGAAGGTAGCGATGAAAATAACCAAATCAGGTTTCACAAACTGATTCGAAGCCGACAATCAGAGAATGGAGAAGAATAAGAAGCGGTGATGATGAAAGGCGATTTAGTGATGCCAGCAGTGAATTGTAGTTGAAAATACACTCTATGGTGTTGAAATTATGTGAAATTGAGCGGCGATTTTCGTTTCCGAAAGGAAAGTTTGGCAGATAACAGGGGATCAACAACATGTTGAACTCTGGTTCACTTTGTTCGGCCAAGAACAACCTCCCCCTTCCTTTTACACGACGATCAATTAGGACCAAGAGCCAATGCCTGTTGAGCAGTTAGTTCAATCTCTTTGTGACACGAAGCGGGGAAGCACACAGTTTGGGGGCCACCATTTCTGGTTCTTAATAATTGGTGCATACACTTCAACACAAGAGCAATATCAGTACGAGAAAGTAGAGAAGATTGGTGAAGGAACCTATGGCGTTGTCTACAAGGCTCGAGAACCGCACCGGGACTACTAGGTACACCAACAGTTCCGGTTACATTAACATCCTCTCTTCTTCCTCGCTTCTTGTCGCCTCCAAATTTCAACTACCCGCTTCGTTTGGAGATCATAAACACTTAGCTTGTGGTTGCCTTTTCACAAGAGGGACCTACCAGAATATGTGCATCATGATATGGCCATGCATTTGAGGTTAAGGCAAAACTGTGATTGACGATTGTGAAGCCATGGGGAAGTGGAGGGTCCCACGTGTAGTGTGCTATCACCACTTACTGGTATTCTTTTCATTTCCAAGTTTGTATTTAGAATTTTTTATTCATTTCACATTTAATAATTCGTTTTTGTATTTATTTATTTATTATTATTTTTTTTATCTAACATTTTCGAATCATTTTTTACAAGAATTTTAATCAATTAAAGGTATTTAAATTCTAATTAAGTTTTAATTCTAATTTTTGCGATTAAGACAATAAATAAATTAATTAGTACCGAAAGGGCGGTTCAAGGGTGCTAATCCTTCCTTGAGCGTAACCGACTCCCGGACCCGACATATTTTGATAAAACGCAGACTAGGTAAGATGGTGTCCGATCCGCCTAAATATTTTTAAAAATGATCGGTGACGACTCTAACCCAATTATTCAAGTCGAAGTTCAATTCCGGACCCAACCCGACACTCATGATGTTGGAAAAAAATCTGTGATACATCAACCTTATCGTACCTCTCTTTAAGATCACGCCAGACGAGGGCAGCGCTCGAGGTAAAAATAATTCTAGCCGACAACTCTTTACTTACCGAATTGAGGATCCACGAGAGGACAATCGCATTACAGCGACCCCACTGCGGATGCAAGTTTAAATCAAAATCATCCTTCATACAGGAACCATCAACAAAGCCAATTTTTTTCTTGGCGAGAAGCGTAATGCCTAACAATCGACTCCAGACGGTATAATTCTCAATACTGGTGAGCAAATGCGATAGCATTCTCTCCCCTTTGCCTTGGTCGCATGCCTCTGTTTCGATTCTTTAAATTTTATATAGAGAACTTTAATCCACGATTAAGGTATTTTTTGCGCAATTTGATTCTGCCTATGGAATTTTTAAAAAAATTGTTTCAATCCTGTGATGTTCATATATCTTTGTCAAGAATTAGTATAAAGCAATTATTTTAGTTTACTTAGTTTGTAATAATTTGCTTTGATTACAGTTATCGTACTCTGTTTAATATATATATATATATATATATTAAATTTAGTTCAATTGAAATTTCACTTTTAATCATTGGTTATTAAAGAAATTATTCATGAATAAATAAATTCGTATTTTGGCTATGTCTAGTATTTTAATAAATTCGTTGAAACAAAATGTTGTCAAAGTAATCTCTTTTGCGTAGATTAATTTATTTAAAATATCAAGATGATTATATGTTCTTGTAATTCATGCGTTTATTAATTGACCCAAAGGAAAGTTAATATTTGGCCAGATTTTAAGTGACACCGGTGGTAATAAATATGTGACAATTATAAGGTAATCTTTATGTGAGCATTACATTAGTCCAAAAATTAGTCTTTTGTTCGACATAATTTATTATCAATGTTTGATTACTACAACAAGAGTATCGTTTATTGTTAGTATTATTGTCTTAAGACTTGATATTAATGTAGTGTTTGGTATCTTGTGATGGAAATTATCCATTATTTCGAATTTATTTTTTGCTTATGTGAGCTTGTTATTTATTTTGTTCAGCTAGTTCTTCTGTTGCCACAGTTTCTCCTAATATCAATTCTATTCTCATACTTAATGGGATAAATATCAAGGAATGGAAAACACACTTCCTTATAGTGCTTGGTTGTATGGACATAGATCTTGCATTAAGGGACGAACAACATGCACATCTCACTGCTTAAAGCAATCCTGATGCAAAAAGGGATCTTGAGAGGTGGGATCGTTCAAATCGCATGAGTCTAATGATCATGAAACACATCATTCCAAAAGCCTTTAAAGACACATAATCTGAAGAGATTACTCAGGCTAAGATTTTTCTTGATGAAATTGAGAAACGTTTTGCTAAAAATGATAAGGTTGAGATGACATCACTTCTGACTTCTTTAATGTCTATGAAGTATAAGGGTCAAGAAAATATAAGGGGGTACATTATGGGAATGTACCATATTACTTCAAAACTTAAGGCACCTAAGATCGAGCTTTTTGAATATCTACTCGTTCTTATGGTTTTGGTATTGCTTCTTGTGCAGTTTAACCAATTTAAAATCAATTATAATTGTCAAAAGGAGAAATAAACTCTAAATGAGCTTATTTCTTATTGTGTGCAAGAGGAAGAAAAGTTGAAGCAAGACAAAACTGAAAGTGTTCATTTGGCTTGTGCCTCTAAAGATAAGGGCAAGAAAAAGAAAAACTAGAATGAAACTGCTAAGGGTCATGCTCAAAAGAAATAAAACAGGATAAAGAAAGTTGTTTCTTGATTCAGGTACGTTTCAGTAAATTTAGCATTTATTTTATTCTTATGGTTTGACATGATTATATTCTGATTAGATTTTTCATATTTATTTATAGTTTGATTCTAACTACACCCGATGGCTTGTGTGCTCGGACTGGTCAAGCAAGGCGAGTTGAAAAAGGAAACGAGTTGAAAAAGGAAAATAAAACATTTTCTTTTTCATACAAATGAATGGTATTGGACCATTGGTAACATTTTTTATTGTTACGCAGAATCCTTATAATATATCAAAAGCTCCATGCGGGTCAAGTAGTGGATCAGCCATAGCAGCAGCGGCAAATCTGGAAACAGCAACACTCGGGGATGACACTGAGACCGATAGGTGTCATCCCCATCACTCCCAGACAGGACACCTATTAATCATCCCAAGCCATAAGTAATGCTAACGCATAACTACAATAAGGGGTGGATCGGGGTGGGCGGAACTGAAAATTTTAAATTCTCTATAATTTAGATATTTTTTGTAGGTTTAAAGGTTATTTTTTCTCATATAGTTAATTTAATTTATCAATTTTGCCTCTATCATTTTTTAAATCAATTTAGCCCTCAAAGTTGTTTAGAGTGTTCATTCTAACTCTCGAAACTCGTTTTGACTAATAGAACTCTTGATCTTTTGCGTTTATCAACACCAACAATTTTAGATCAACCAATATTACTGACGTGATTTGATAATGACATGACATGTATTAAAAAAACAAATACTCAAATATTTACTAAATATAACAGTTAAAAAACTTTCAAAAACTGACTTAATCCCTTAATCTCATTGAAATAAATAATAAAATTTTAAAAATTTGTTCTAATCATTGTATCTAATACATATTTTAACATAATCCATTAATCCACAAACATAAAAGACTTACAATTCTATTAGTCAATACAGTCCACTGACTTTAAGGGCTATGATGAATACCCTAAACAAATTTAAGAGTTAAATTGATGCAAAAACTGATAGAGATGAAATTGATAAATTAAGTTTACTACATGTGCAAAAGTGACACTTAAGCCTTCATTGTATCTTCTGTTGATAATATTTTTTCGGCTCTTAACATTTTATAAATTCGTCCCTAACATAAAATCTTGTGTAATATCATACCGTTGAACTGAAACAGACCCATGTGGAGAATAGTGGCTGATACGGTATACGTCATGGATGCCATTGCAGGCTTAGATTATAATGGTAATGCCATCATTGAAGCATCAAAGTACATTCCAAGTTGTGGCTACAGGCACTTTCTAAAGATTGATGGTCTCAAAGGGAAAAGATTGGGCCTATTCAGGAATGAATTCATCAATTTTGATAAAGGATATGTTTACTCTGAAGCTTTTGAGGTTCATTTATCCACTTTAAGGTATCAAAATATTGTGCTGTTGTTTTTTGCTTCAAAATAATTTTTTCTTCTCAAATAATAAATAAAGGAAATTTAACGTAGTAAAAGAGAAGTGAGGGTCGACCCCACAGAGACTAAGGAAATTTCCTGATTTGTTCGTGTTTTATTTAATCTTTGAACCAAGAGGTGGATGTAGTAGAATTTGAGTAATTGTGGGGATTTATAGATGAAGAGAAATAAAATAAAAGAAAAAAATATTTCAAAGAAGATTAAAAAAATTTAAAATAAATTTAAAATAAAATTTAATATGGTAAAATCAACTTTAGGCTTTCACTTTGACTCAATTTCCTTCGAATCATCGAATTATATTTTCCCTTCGAGATTCAAGTCGGTTACTTTGTCTACAAGGGCAATCCTCATGACTCTTCTTTGTATACCAAATACCCAAGGCAATCTTTGATTCCGATTTCGGAAATTGATTTGATCATCAATTGTCGTAGATCAATAACCGTTTCAGTTCGTGAAGACCGACTCAGATTGTTGTTTCAATAACTACTAATTTCGATCTCAATTCCCTTTTAGCAAGGCAATCTTGCAAAGTGTGTTCCCAAGAAGTCGAATGTGCTTTCAATAAGTCGATCATTCCTCCCACACATTTAATCGCAACAACATATTAATTAAAATCAATCTTTGATTTTGAAAACTGTTTTGATTTTTAAAATAAGCACATAGATTGAGAGAGGTATTCCAAAGTTATTCAAGTGCTTTTCAATTCTCACGTTGGAATTGAGTCATCGCTTTAGCCCTTGGCTTGAAAGAAAATGAAAAGAAAATACTTTTTTTATTAAACTAAAGAAAAAATAAAGGATGATTCCATTAGGCTTACCCCAAAGGGTATTTATAGCCTTCTAAAAACCCGAAAAATAGGCTAAAAAATAAAAGATAATTATTTAAATTTAATTACTAAAAATAAAAAGATAAATCCTAAAAAATTGAATTTTAAATTGCTTGAAATGCTCTAACTGTCCATCCATCTTTTAGAAGCTACTGAGTGGGCCTTCTAAAAGTTGTTGATTGGGCGCCATGTCATATGCCACGTCAGCTGTCATGTTATCACCACGTCAACTGCCACATCATCACCACGTCAGCGCTGCCTAGATGCCATGTCTGGTGTGTCATGTCCCAAGTCGTACCCACTAATCCGGCCATGAATCCAAAAAATAAAAAATTACACAATTTTGTTGTTCTTAGCATAATTTCTGGAAATTCAATGTCCTATATCGAAAATGAATGAAAAGGCCCAAGTTAGCAACTAAAATTATCTAATCAAGGAGTAATTAATCATAAAATAATGTATAATTTAAACACTAATCAAATTCTCCATCACTTATCTAATGCTTGTCCTCAAGCATTTCTCAATTAACTTGCTAAAATCAATAGTTTCCATTCTATAACTCACATCATACTTTAATCATCCAATGAACCAAAATCAAGACAATGAATTGTAATTAGAAAACAATCAAGCATGTGGCAAAGCTAAGAAATAAGTTAAATCAAAACAAGACATTTTGATAGCTCACTAATCTCATGATGCAAGACTCAATACCCTCACAAAGGATTCACTTATTTCATTCAAGTGTTTAAAGACAAAGAAACGCTCAAGCTAGAACAAGTCAAAGCATTACCATAAGCTTGTGATTAAATCCAATCTCGACTACTTTAAATTGAATAAGATGCAAAAGTCAAGAGGTCTTTAATCTGGGTTATAACTTGGCTAAGGTATGGGTAGAGAAAAAGGCCAAAAAAATGTTTAAAATGAAAAATAAAATAAGAAAAAAGAATAGATGAAAGGCAATTGAAACAATCAATTTTTCCGTCTTCTTTTTTCACTCGAACAAAGGGTCTTTTTTTCTTCCCCCCCCCTTTTTTGGCTGTTCGAAACAGTGAACATTGTACTATTTTTTTACGAAATTTTTTTTTCGTTTCCTTTTTCTTTTTTTTTTCCTTCATGGGACAAGAATGATACAAGATCTCAAGTCTCGGCAAGAGTGTGAAAAGAGAGAGAAAAATAAAAAGAAAGACTTCGAGTTTAATATGGTGAGATGAAAATCAAACGAAGGGAAATAGGCTCAAATGTGGTTTACTAAGGGATAAATTAAAGGGTAGGCTTTTTGGGTAATGAAAGGGTTAATCCTAAATGCCTCAATCATACTAAAAACATCAAATTCAAGCATGTTGTCTCAACTAGTATTCCACCACAAGTTCTAGAATGTTAAAAACTAGTTTGGTACACACAAAGAAACAAAGAGCAAGAATGAAACATGTATGCTCAATAGGCTCAAAGCTCACAAAATTGGCTCAATGTATCAAGTCTAGCATCAATTCAACCAATAAATCATGGAATGTCAAAATTTTCATAAAAAATCACTAGTTATGCCAATTAACTATCATGCATCTAATTTTCAACTCAAAACAAGATTAAAGAATTCATCGAAAAAGATAAAGTAATCAAATAAATAAAAGAATAGGCAACAAACAACTTAACATATCAAGATCAAAATATCTTAAGTTCAATCATTCGACAAGTGAGGTGAAATTCAACATGCAATCCCTCCTCCCTCACTTAAATCGTATTGTCTCAAACGTAAATTAAAATATAAAGCAAAAGAAAGGGAAAATGAATACTCCCTGATCTAGTAGTGACTGTGGCCCGGCTGCGTCGAGATGAACTGTTGTAGAGTATAATGTCCAATTGAGAAGCCACTAGAAGATATATTAAAATTTTCTATTAAACAAAAATCATGAAAAGAATAGATCATTCCAAGATTTTATTCTAAAAGGAAGTAGACTCAAGAAAATAATTCAATCAAGCTTTATCATCTTTTCTTTTTTTCCCTCACTATTCGAACCAAAACTGTACTACTATTTTTTTATTGTTTAAACCAAAACTATACTGCTATTCGAACCAAAATTGTATTGTTGTTTCTCTCACTATTGAACCAAAATTGTATTGCTATTTTTCACTGTTCGAATCAAAATTGTAATGTTGTTTTCTACTGTTCAAATAGTGCACTGGTTTTTCTGCTCATTCAAATATGTGCTATATTTTTTTCTGCACTGTTATATTCGAACTTTTCTGCACTGTTTTTTTCCTGCACTGCACAGTTCGAACCAAATCAGTTTTTTCTGCACTGTTCGAACAATGTATTTTGAAGTTATGTTTCCTTTTTTTCAGAATGATTCTTCCTTTGTTTGACGCCGCACGATCTCTTCATGCCTTGGGGTCGGGTTTTCGCCATTTTTTTCGCTTTCGGTTCGAACAATTCTTGATTTCATCTTGCTTAAAATTCTAGTAGGAATAACGAGTACTTGAAAATTCAAAGAAAAATAAAAAAATAAATCAGAAAAATAAAATTAAAAATAAAAATTGAACAAAAGGAAAATAAAAATAAAAATGGGTTACCTCCCACAAAGCACAATTTTTAACGTCATTAGCTCGATGACCTGATTCAGACTAGAGGTTCTGAGATAGATGCTTCCTCCACTTCCTGGTCATAAATTAAAAATAAAGAAAGAAAGAAATCAGTAACTTGCCTTTAGTCCCCAGCAACGGCGCCAATTTGACATTGTCATTTTTGGCGTCAAAATAATTTTTTCTTCTTAATTAATAAATAAAGGAAATTTAACGTAGTAAAAGAGAAGTAAAGGTCGATCCCACAGAGACTAGGGAAACTTATTGATTTATCCGTGCTTTGTTTAACCCTTGAGCCAAGAAGTGGATGAAGTATAATTTATTAGTATGGATTGATTTATTTTAAATAATTTATTAGTATGGATTGATTTATTTTAAATAATTTATTTGTATGGATTGATTTATTTTAAAATATAGATTGATTTATTATTGTAGTTGTATGGATTGATTTATTTTAAATAATTTATTAGTATGGATTGATTTATTTTAAAATATGGATTGATTTATTTTAAATAATTTATTAGTATGAATTGATTTATTTTAAAATATGGATTGATTTATTTTAAATAATTTATTAGTATAGATTGATTTATTTTAAATAATTTATTTTTATGAATTGATTTATTTTAAAATATGGATTGATTTATTATTATAGTTGTATGGATTGATTTATTTTAAATAATTTATTAGTATGGATTGATTTATTTTAAAATATGGATTAATTTATTTTAAATAATTTATTATTGTAGTTGTATGGATTATTTAAATTTCATTATTGTAAAACTAAAATTATTTAAATCTCAGTATTGCAAAACTCTTTTAAGTTTAAAAAAATCAGTTTATTTATATTTCAGTTCATTTTAGCAGTCTGTAGACGTTAAAAAACAAACAGTCTTTTTCTTGCAGACTACAGACTTTTGGTCCACCTCTTCTGTTGCAGATGCCTGCAGATGTGGTTCGCAGACTGCAGATCTTTTACCTCTGCAAAAACAAACACCACCTTTATCTATAAGGGCAATCCTCGTGACTCTTCTTTGTGTATCGAATACCCAAGGCAATCTTTGATTCTGGATTCGAAAATTGATCTAATCAACATCAATTGTCGTAGATCAATAACTGTTAAGTTCGTGAAGACCGACTCGGATTGTTGTCTCAATAACTACTAATTTCGATCTCAAATTCCTCTTAGCAAGGCAATATTGTCAAGTGAAATGTGCTTTCAATAAGTCTATCATTCCTCCACACATTTAATCGCAATAACATCTTGACCAAAGTCAATATTTGATTTTGAAAACTGTTTTGATTTCGAAAATAAGCACAGAGATTGAGAGAGATATTCCAAAGTTATTCAAATGCTTTTCAATTCTCACTTTGGAATTGAGTCATCGCTTTAGCCCTCGATTTGAAAGAAAATTAAAGAAAATGATTTTTTATTAAACTAAAAAAAGGTTAAATTAAAGACATCCGGTCCCGGTGCACGAGATCCATTTGGGATATCTCTCAACATGAATATGTCTAAAGTATGCATGTAAACGAACCGAACGCACACGAACGGAGGTATGTTCATGTTCGTTCATTTAATAAATAAACGAACATAAACGGACACGAACATAAATGGACATGAACATAAATGAACAAATTTTTTTTTGCTCATGTTCGTTCATTAAGGAATATAGCTTGTTCATGTTCGTTCATAAACGAACATAAATTAACATAATAAATGAACATAAACGAACAACACAAACACAAAAAAAAAAAACTTATTCGGACACAACAAATGAATGTAAAAAAAGTAAACAACAAGAATAACAACTTAAAATTCTTTAATATAACCTGCAACTTTAGAGTTAATTAGTTCGAATACGACAAAAACATACATAAATCATAAATAAGCTATATGAACATAATAAAGTTTTAAAGTTTAATTTGTTCAACAAAACAATCTTCTTGAAATCCAAACAACTTCAATAATCCTCGTAACATATTCAACTTGTCCTTTGTTCGAACATAAATGAACGAACATAAATGAACATAAATGAATGAACATAAACGAACATATAATCGAACGTTCACGAACGTAAATGAACGAACGAGTCCTTTGTTCGTGTTCGTTCATTTAATTAAACGAACGCAAAATCTTGTTCATGTTCAATGAACTTCCCGCCGCACAGTTCATGAACGGTTCACTGAACGTTCAGTTCATTTACAGAAAGTATATGGTATTGGTGTGAGTAATATATAATGTTCGGAGTGGGCTGTCGCTCTAAAGTGTGGTGTGGATTCCTTTCCCACGAAATGCTTGGGTCTCCTTTTGGGTTTTCGTAGGAATTCTTTAGAACTATGGAACCCCATATTGGATAAAGTGAGGACTAGACTGGATGGCTGGAAGAGCAAGTTACTCTCCTTTGGCGAGCGCATAACACTAATTAAATCAGTTCTTTTCAATGTACCATCTTACTATATATCCTTATTCCAGATGTCGTGTGCCGTAGTTTCTAAATTGAATAGTTTGATAACAAGGTTTTTATGGGGCTCTAATTCCAAAAGAGTGATTCACTGGGTGAAATGGGACAATGTGTGCAAGCCAAAAGAGTTCGGGGGATTAGGGCCGTTTGATTTGAAACTAAAGAATCGGGCTCTGCTCAACAAATGGCTTTGGAGGTTCGGCTCGGATGATCACAGCTTGTGGAGGAAGGTAATTGTGGCTAAATACGGGTATGATCAACATTCCTTGATCCCAAGGCCTTTTATTCCGCGACGTGCATCCTGGATGTGGAGGAATATCTCCACTTTGCTTTCGAGGGAGGTTAGCGTATTCACAGCAAATACTCGGTGCTCTTTTGGAGATGGCAGTGCTATTGAATTTTGGGAGGACCACTAGTCTGAGGTTACTTCATTAAAAGCCGTTTTCCCCGAATTTATTCTATCGCTGTTAAAAAATCCGAAAAAAAATTAGTTCATTCGGTTCTAAGCAAAATGGAGTTTGGCATTGGAATATTGAGCTGCGTAGGCCTTTGTTTGAATGGGAAATTCCCATTTGGGACGAGTTTTACAGGGTGATTAATGATATCGAAGGCGAAAGCGAGCCATATGACCACCTAGTATGGAAACTCTCCGGTGATGGTATGTATTCTTCCAGAGACTTCTATAATAGAGTTATATGTGAAGGACATGATAAAGATCCAGTGTGGAAACCGGTATGGGTTAATCTTGCTCCTCTTAAGGTGGAGGCTTTCGTGTGGAGACTAGTGCTTCAAAGGGTTCCGACTCTTGTTGAACTAGAAAAGCGTGGTATTAATATTGTTTCTAGCATGTGTGTGTTATGTCGTGAAGAGGTGGAATCGGTTGAACACTTATTTTGTCACTGCAGCACAGTTTGGAGGATTTGGCAAAGGTGGTGCTCTTGCTGGTCGATCATATTTATTATGCCGGCAAATGTAAAAGGTCTTATTTGTTCTTGGAACTCACAGCTGGTGAAGAGAGCCTCGTGGCCAATATGGAACTTGGCTCTGTTTGTAATCTTGTGGTCCATATGGTTGTATCGGAATAACGTATTGTTTAATGGTAAACCTTGTTGTGAAAGCCAACTATTTGAATTAATCTTATGCGGGGTTGGACATTGATGTAAAAGCAAGTGACCTAGTGATATTTTTAGTATCGTGGATTTCATCCGTTGGCCAAATTTGCAGCAGCTGTGATGATGTATTTGTTTAGCGATAATCTGGGAAAGCACTCTCCCTGGGTTCTGGTTTGGTTCTCCTGTTCATTTTGCTGGGTGTTAGGCTGGTGTACCGGTGGTGTTACTGACGCATTCGGCATTCGACTGTTGGGTTGGTGGATTGTTACTCATGTGTCTCGCGCTAGTTTTTGTAGCTATTGTGTGGGACCTGTTGGTTGTTTTTTGGGGTGCTGCTTATGAATTGATTCAGTATTTAGCCCATATTTCTTTTATTTGAATGGGTTAAAATCATAGCTTCAAGGCATAAATGGAAAGATCATGCTTTTTGGGACCTTTATCAACCAACGGAGGCAATGGTTTGCATTTCTGTGGACACTCGTTTTGATGGTCCTTCCCCAGTTTGTTTTCCCATGAATGTTAAGCAACTAGTTTCAGCTTTGTTGGAATTTATTAGGGTGGCCTTTACTGTTTTTTGGATGTCGTTGGGTGGAGTGGGGGTTGGTACGTTGGTTACATTCTGTTATGTTGGTTTCGGCATTTGCTTGGCTGCCACTTCTTCTTCCATATAGGTCTTTTGCATGGACGCTGGTGACTCATGTGAGATTGTGCTACTGCTGTAGTTGTGTGTTGTTGTGATTTTCCATATTGAGGTCGGCGGTTCGAATGTCCTGGATGTTTGGACAGCTCGACTTCAAGCTGTTTTGGAGAGATGAATTCATGTTCATTCTTTGCTTCTAGTTACGGTCGAATTATTGGTTTTAGGTGAGGATTGTTTTGTTTGCTTATGTAATGGGAGGGTGGTGTGTTACCATTTTCTGCATTATTGTGTGTTCTGGTATCAAATGGTGATAGGACATGGTGCACTCTTTTTTCTCTATTTTGGCTTAGGAAGGTTTTTTTAATGAGACAATGTCCTGTCCGGTTTTGTATGTGACCTAACCTAATAAATTCATACAAAACTTTTCCTTTCAAAAGAAAGAAAGAAAGAAATAAGGATGATTCTATTAGGCTTATCCCGAGGAGTATTTATAGCCTTCTAAAAACTCTAAAAATAAGATGAAAAATAAAAGATAATTATTGAAATTTAAATCCTAAAAATAAAAATATAAATCCTAAAGACTTGAATTCTAAATTGCTTGAAATGCTCCTCCTGCCCATCCATCTTTTAGAAGCTACTAATTGGGCCTTCTAAAAGTTGTTGAGTGGGCGCCATGTCAGCTGCCACATCATTGCTATGTCAGTGCTGACTAGATGTCATGTCGAGTGTGTTATGTCCTAAGTCGTGCCCACTAATCCGGCCATGAATCCAGAAAAAAAAATCAAAACTTGCACGATTTTGTTGTTCTTAGCATAATTTCTGGAATTCAATGTCTTGCATCGAAAATGAATGAAAAGACCCAAGTTAGCAACTAAAATTATCTAATCAAGGAATAATTAATCATAAATTAATGTATAATTTAAACACTAATCAAAATAGATAACAAATTTCTCATATTAGCACCATCCAACTATCATCAATTAGTTCAATTTCGATACAAGGCAAAAGGTTGCAGTTTTGGTAGAAAACGTGAATGCGTCCAAGTATTTGAGTGCATGTAGCACCAGCACAGATTATGAAGCTCTAGCAATTACAGCTGAGTTCAAATTGGCCATAAATTCTTACCTAAAAGAACTTGTGTTATCTCCAGCGCGATCCTTGAAAGATCTCATTGCATTCAACGACAAATTTTCAGAATTGGTGAGTATTTCAACTTATATTGCTCTATTTTCCGATCATTCGAACAAAGCGAGAATATTTGATGCTTGGGTTTCGGTTATATAATGCAGTAAAAAACGTAGGAATACGGGCAAGAGTACTTCCTTGATGCCAAAGCTAAGAATGGCATCGGCCAAAGAGAGACGAAAGCGATACTAGAATTAGCGAAAATGTCGATAGATGGAATGGAGAAATTAATGACAGAAAAAGTTAGACGCCTTGCTATCACCATTTAATTCAGCTTCGTCTATTCTCACAAAGGGTCAATACCCTGGTATCATCGTTCCGATCGGATATAATAGCGAAGGGGTGCCTTTCGGAATTTGGTCGGATATAATAGCGAAGTGGTGCCTTTCAGAATTTGTTTCGGAGGAGGATTAGAGGGGTCAGAGCCTACCCTTCTTGAGATAGCCTGCGAAGAGGTGCCTTTCAGAATTTGTTTCGGAGGGGGATTAGAGGGGTCAGAGCCTACCCTTCTTGAGATAGCCTATGCCTTCGACAAGGGTTAGCCATCAATGGACCTTGTTGAATGGTTCATGTGCCCTACATCCATTATGTTACTCTATTATCTAAATAATGGAACACTTATTTATACAAGTGAACTTTCAATTTCACCAATTATAGCATTAAATTTTGAATTATATCTCTAAACCGTTAGGACGCCACACAAAACGACATTGTATTTCACATATTCAAACATGGATAGATAAAAATGGCAGTCACCATATGAAATTCTAAACGCTAAAGTGATATTTTCTATATACAGAAACTTCAATTAATAAGGAACCAAAAGTTACCTACATAATCATTGTCAACCATTTATACATTCATTGACGTAATAAAATGTACAAATCATTCGGATTTCATCCATACATCTCTTAGGAGTTCATACCTAATAGCATTTTGGTAGTTTCCCTTTGATATCCAGTTAGGCTTTGATTGAACCGATGATGATCGGAAACCATCAATGAAGATTGAAGCCAAGGGAGAATTCAATTCATCGAGCTCGTCATCACTTGTGTATGACTTTCTGAGGACCGACGACCCACTTCTTCTCAGCTGAGATTGGCTTCCAACTTCGCCGATGATGCTAGCGACAGATGATGCTGACGGTGGCAAATAAGCTGGAGGAGATGCAGCATACGGGAAGTTTGTGACAAACCCTTCCCTGGCTTCGCCAGGATCCTGAAGCAAAATAGAAGCACAAATGTTTTCTTCATATCTTCAAATTTCAAGCTAGAGTTCCTTGTTTAGATATGGAAAACATATATAGTCTGTTACTCAAGTCTTGTGTGCAGGCTCAGATTTTTCCATGTACTTGGAAGGACTTTCGAAGGTCATTCTCATGTCAATATCCAAAAATATGTGTCGTACACGGATACTTGAATAAAAATGAGGAATCATAGCAACATATGACATGATTTTATGACTAACCTCAGCCTCAAGGGCTTCAAGCACAACATTAGGAACCGGATCAGGGCAAAACTCGTCCGGGACAAAATAGTCAATAACTCTTTTGATCAATGATGGACCAAACGTTGAACAAACCTTTGAAAAAAAAAAACACCATGAATAAACAGTTAAGTAAAACATTTCAAACTGGAGCGTGTCTAAAGTTCGGGAGCCGAACCTCTTCCCTGATAGATCTACTCAAAAGCATGTCCTTGGGAAGCATCATGAGATCGCTCAATGAATTAAGGAGATGGAAAGGCTTTACAGAGGTGTCTTGTCGGTCATTACTGCCATACTGGTCGTTCTCATCATCGATACCAAAGAGGTCTGTCAACCACCGAGACCAGTTTCCAATCTGACATCCATAAAAATGAAATTCAAACAAGATTTGATTAAATTCATAAGAGCGAAACCAGGGTTAACCTATATTGACTTGGACAATTATTTCAATAAAATGAAGAATCGGAGCAACATAGGCCCACACCAATCAGGAAAAGTAACACCGAAAGTTTGCAAACCTAGATTTAACTACAGATGGGGAATGGTTGTGTTATCAATTATGATAGCATAATAGGCAATGATCTCACTCATGGATTAACCTCCATATTACCACATTTGCATTGATCACCACAGTTTTTTTTTTTATAATGAGAGCTTACAGCATTTTTCAATTGTGCACCAGCACCAAAACTTGCTTCCCCAGCTGGTATCGGAAGGACTAGAAGATCACTAATGGGGTCAGACACAGGATCAGTAGGGATCTCATCGCCAGAATCACGAAGAACAGCATTGAACATAGCCACGTCTAGTCTAGAGACGCATTGCTCCATTATCTAAATGCATGAATAAGGATGAATTATAACATATTTAATATAGAATAAAAAATTGATAATCAAAGGAACCAACACTGGTGATAGTTCCTGACACGATGACAAAGGAACGAACGGTAAAAAAATTGGTATGAAAAATGTTGAATTATTAGGGTCAGAAGCAAAGTAACATGCATGTGCTCCACTAATTAATTCCTCACAAAAAAACATTACCAATCTAGACAGCAAATGCAAGCAGCCACATTCATGCCCCGCAGCTCGAACCGGGCAAAGTCTTTCACAGGCATCCCTGAAAGCACTCTTCCAATGATCTAACGAGAAGTTCATTTGGTCTTGATTACTTGTGCTAGACACCCTCCCAAAGTTTTTACCTGAGGCAGTGCCCATTCCCCTATCAATTTCGACTCTAGCTGCTGATTGCATATGTGGAGTGAGAGTCTGCGGGTAGATATACAGAACATATGTTGATCAGATGACTATTCAAGTTTGTAACATTCAATGTGCCATCATGTATTTTATGGAATTTTTTAATCAAAGCGCGGGGGCGCAGTCTAAATGTACTACCTGCCACCAGACAGACTCGATGATTCTGGAAAAGATCCATGCTTCAACCTTTACCAGGGCTGAAGTAAAGGCAACTGGGCTCTCCCAGTCACTGAAACTTCCATATGACATAAGTTTACTCTCCTTTCTTCCAGAAGAGGATTCTTTCCATTTCAACGGAGATGATGCATGTTTTTTCTCCTTTCCACCTCCATTTCTTTCCATGGGTCCAGCAGAAAGTTGTGAATCCAAATCTCCAATAGTTTCACTTATAATTACTCGTAACACAACAGAGTTCGACAACCAAAACGTCAACCTGTAATCATCATACATCTGACATGAGTTCATGAGAAGTCATAATAGTTTCCTCCTTTCTCCCCTTTCTTTCCCACCAAAAAAACTTACCATCCCCCATTAGTAAACAATAAAAACTTGGTACAAACAAATTTTCGGGAAAATCCAGTTTCAGATGACGGAGAATAAAGCAATTAGATAATAGAAGTATAGAAGCATAAAATGTAAATGTGATGATAAAGAATGTACAGGCAGAACTTAGAAGAACATCAAGAACAGTAAGACTCGATCATACTTTGGAACATCATTTCCACATGCTTTTGCAACAAGAGCGAGCCCAGAAACAGCACTTCTAGCTGCACTTGCTCTCCTTGATTGGATGCCTTCCTTACAAACATGAAGATACAGCCTGGAAAGGCGCCGAGCAGGAGCATGCACCTTATTCCTGGAGCTCCCATGCTCAGCAACTACTGAGAAAAGAGCAGCCTCAATGGCAGCAGCATCCCTCAACTCTCCCTCAAGCGTCATTATCTTGTTTTCAAGTTGCAGTATTTTCTTATCCAACAGGGCACTTCTAGTATCCTTCGGGTATACCTTAGCGTCATTACTTTCATTGCTTGATTTGTTTATTAAGGTTCCAGGACCGTGCTGTCTATCCCCAAGAACACAAGCTTCCTGCAATTCTGGGAGATGGTTATTGCTAAACAACCCATTGCTCCTAACTGAGTCCACTGAAGATCGAACAGACTTCACATGCTTTAGTCTATCACTTTTTAGGGCATTGGACTTCGTTCCAAGATTCACTTGGCTTAAATGGTTTTCTTGGGAATGAATATTCAATTGTTCATCTTCAGTAGATGACCTTTTCGCTTCCATGTATGGACCTTCATGTCCATTTTCTTGCCATTCATATTCATCAGCAGCATCTGTAGCCTCCTTTGAGGAAATTTTTTCATTTGTTAGAACTTTCCTATCATCTTCTCTGTCATCCAGAGAATCACTAAAAGGTCCAGATTCCTGCTTATCAACCTGAGGGCTGTTAGCTGAGTCTTCCATTTTGGCCTTAGAACTATCAGATGTACCTTCCTTACTTTGAACATCATACGTAACTGTGGTTCCTTTATTGGCAACCATTTCATGAGCATTCTGAGATAAATCTTCATGATCATATCTTTTCATGCTGGTCTCGGTTGCATCTTGTGTATTTCCATTAGCCAAGGATGATGAAGACAAATGAATTTTGTTGCTAATTACATTATCTTCTACAGGTGAAGTGGTACTATAAGACTTGGATGCAGTAGCACAAGCATCTACTGAGCTCTCAAATGAAGTCACTTTGGAGTGTTCACGAACTTCACATTGTGTGATCTGTGTCCCCGCATTTGTTCTTTCCAGGTCCGATTGTGAAGCTAGGGCATGTTCCTCTACGGCTTCTCCCTTGCAATCAATTGGACTGACTGATCCATTCTGCAATTCAGTATCAATTACTATATCACCTCGTGTATTTTAACTTATTAAAGAAAAATTGAGGTCTCCCATTAGGCCAACCATAAGACCATTCCGCCAAAAAGATGCAATGGAAATGGGTCATCATGCCTAAACAATTCTCTATGTCAGAATTTTTTTTCCAGCATTTTATAAACAAATCTACAATAAGAAAGGAAATAACTAAAACTTACCTCTTCAATTTGAGGAAGTGAACCCCCATTAGATTCCAAAGTTGAAGAACAAACAGTGAGAGACGAGTGTGAGGAGACATCGTCGTCGGTGAATGAAGCAACCTCAGCTTCCTCGGCATACTCTTCATCCATCAGAGCCGAAACAGTCTCGCTTCCTTTCCTGTCCAACAAGTGCTCTTGAGACAGGTTGCCTCTTGATGAAGCGTTGTTTCGAACCTTATAAACTCGATCAATTTTAAGAAATAAAATTGGCTGAGCGGTGTTAATAATGCTCCTCTTGCTGGTCATAGGAACCAAAATGTCTAATGTTTCCTTAATAATACCACATTCCGCCAAATCCACAATGGCAGTACCTAACAACTGAATCTTTTCCCTTCGCGGCTCATATAAGTTCAATTCTAAGACATTCTTCATGAAAACATCAACATCCTTGCCTTTAACAGACACGTCCTTCACTAGATTCACAGGTAACTTAAATGACTCATTAAACTCGATTTTACCCTCAACAGCAACAGAACCAGGTGTGGGCGAAACAGTGTTGGTAGACCCCGAATTACGTTCACCATTCTCCCACTGAATCAGTACGGAACGAACCGATCTCAGAGACTGTGATGGGGGCCAAGGTTTAATCTCTTGAATGTGGATTAGATAATCAACATGAATCGTTGGCCCTCTCCGGCTCTTTGAACTTGAACCGAGCATCGTTGTTTGAGAAACACTAGTGTTTTCAACAGGATATGTTTATCTTAAACTATTCAATCCACAAGAGAGTTGAATTCCTACAATGCAGAAACAACTACAATTTTAATATAGGAACTTTGCATCAAGAAATAGTGTAATTAGTAAAACCCAAGCTTATAATCTTAGCAAAAGGGAAAAGCGAAACTACCACCATTCAGCTCAACAAAACTACCTTGTAAATCCCTACAACAAATTAAAGGCAAGCTGTTTTTTTCCTTCAATTTCCCAGCATTTTCTAAACAGCCAAACATAAGGGTATATAGTTTCCAAAAGAATAAAAAGAGAAAGTGGCAAATAATAAATGCAGTCCACTACTAAGCCACTAAAGCAGAAGACATCATTAACATAAAAAAGGAAGAAATTATGAAAGAAAAAAATAAAAATAGTGTATTAGCTCTAACCATTAAAAAAGTTACACAAAGCTAATATATACAAACGAACTAAAAATAATAGTGTATTAGCTCTAACCATTAAAAAAGTTACACAAAGCTAATATATACAAACGAACTAAAAATAGAAACTTTGAAGATCATTTGAACAAAAAAAGACCAAAAGTGCTATTAAACTGAAACACCCATCATTTGTTAGCATCAGATCCACCTTCTATGAACCAAGTATGCTAAAAAAAAGTTGAATTTTTAGCTCAAACTAGCTGAGAAAAATCAAGGATCTTTACAATGCAGAGATTAAAAAGGTCAGAAAAGGAGAAAAACAGGAAAGTGAGTAAAGCAACCAGTTTTTTCACTTTGCGTACACTGAATGTGGGGAGAAAATTACCAGGAAATTACTTTGAAGAACTAAAGAAATGGGAAAGCTTAGGCGCAAGTCCCCATGGAAGAAGAATAAAAGCTCTTTTCTTTGAGGTGCAGGAAGGCTGGCTGATTCTACTGACTGTGATCTACTGACTGAAAAGAAAGAAAAAATATTTTTTTATAAAAAGGGCATGATTAAAATAGAATTTAGAGATGGCAACCATTCTCACATTACAAAACAAAGATGGATTAGACAATATTTGATTTTTAATAGATTTATTCAAAATGAATATTAAAAAAGTAAATGACAAAAACCAGATAAAAGAAATGGCCTAAGATAATTTTGTAATAAATACGTTGCAGTTTTGAGAGGTGGGGTTCGGTTTTGTGCCGTCGTTTTCCATTTTAATTGTGATGCGCTGTCGAATTGTCTCAACTTGAATTATTTTGTGGAGAGAGTTTTCTAACACGCGATTAAAACAGGAAGTGAACTGAACTCTCGCCTTGTATACTTTGTGGTAAATGTCACTCTTCGGAAGTGCGTGTGGGATTAAAGTGAAAACAAGCTTTGCCTTGTATCTCGGTTGGATATTTTCCCCGACAAATACTTGTTTAATAACACGCTCATTTGACGATATTGAGCCCCACACTTTTCAGCATCGTTTTCAAAATCAGATCGATCATGTTATCAATTTATTAATTTAATCGATTGAATCGATCCAATCGATCGAAAGAATCGAACAATATCATAATTATTTAAAAAATTAAATAAGAATATCAAAAATATTTAATAAAAAATAATTTTTTATATCACAAGTCATATTCAAAGCAAATCATAACATATATAAATTAAAAATCATAAAATCAAGTAAAACAAAATGATTCAAATTAACTACAACATAATATTTAAAATAAAACATATTAAATAATAAATATAATTATATAACTATAATTAAAAAATAAATTTAGGGTTAAAAAAATCAAAACAAAATGATATTGTTTGGTTTAATTTTTTTTAAAAAAAATCTCACATGGCTAAGAAACATAGAAGAGCATCTCAAAAGTCTAAAGAGAAAAAATATGAGACCAAAACAATCTCACATGGTTAAGAAACATAGAAGAGCATCCTAACTAACTTCTATAAATAATAGAGGTAATTTGGCTTTCAAAATCATTGAGTCTTTTGGTAAGCATTGAGTGAACTATTATTTCACTTTAATCAAGCTCGAATTTCAGGCTTCAATTGAATTTCTAATTTTTTTTTAGTTCAAGTCTTTTCGAGTTCAAGTTTCGATATTATATTTCGAGTTCGAGTTGAACTTGATAATTTTTAGCTCGTGAGTTTGAGTCGAGTTGAGCTTACTTTTAAAGTTTTTAAGTTCGAGTCGAGCTCAGCAATACTCGAGTTCGACTTAGCTCGTTTAACAAACGACGTTGTTTGGTTTAATTATTTTTAAAAAAATATAAAATTGACGGTTTTTTCCGGTTTTCAGTCGGTCCAGCTCGAACGGTTCAGCGGTTCCGGCCGGTTCACTAATAGCGGTTCAATCGGTGTAAATTAAACCGGACTAGACAGCGATTCTCAATTGAACCGGTCGGTCCGTTTCGATTTTCAAAATAATGTTTTTGGGGTTTAATCAATTTAGCCCTAGTACTCACGTTCATTTATGAAGGGATGAACTATACTAACAGTCATTAAATTATTTGTCTTTTTTATTTTAGTCATTACATTTTTTTTATATAAAAATGCTATTAACTTTGTAAGCAGGGTTCAATTGAGATTTAAATAATTTATGAGGGTTTTTTTGTACTCATGCCGAGAAAAATGATATGGAAAATTATTTAAACTGCAACGATAATAAATAGAATGTATTATGAGAGTTCTATTGTGTAGTGTATATAATTACCCGTCTCCATATCTGGTTCTATATTCGTATCGGTACAACATAGGTTAAGGCATGGTCAATCTTGCAAATCATATAGGTGAATTGCGGTCGGCACCGAAAGCCTAATGCGACGGTCCTTTAATCCCCTTATCGTACAAACTTTGTTATGCCGATCCTTCCCGCTGAAAGAACGCGACACTCGGGATGATTCTCGGGTTCCGAAACCCCGACCACTGCCTCGAACTCGATGTCACCTGGGACACCTTATTGCTGTCGCTGTTGATTTCGCCTTCTTGTTTTGCTTGAAAACAACCCTTTTCTCTTGAACTTGAAATCATCCTCTCATCATCATTCCAAAATCATATATATTTGTATGTATTAAACTGAAACAAGGAAAAAATTAGCCTGTAATTAGACAGAAAATAACTTAAAAGATTCAAATCTGGCTCCTTTTTTGTAATGATAAAAATCCAAAATCTGGCTCCTTTTTTGTGTTTTGACATAAATATTTTGATTTTACCAAAACCCAGTTGTTTGAAATCTTCAAACATTTTCAATTTTGGAGAACCAATGGATTTTTCACTTAAAAGGGGGCCTTTTGGAGTTTTTGAATGCATGTCATATGAATTATCAGTTTAATTTATCTTTCCTTTTTGTGTATTGTTTTTGTTTCTTAAGATTCAGCCAATTTTACAGGAATATCAACTGAAATGGCTGGAGGATTGATCCACCAGGTTTTAAGGAGGAAACTTCAGTTTCAGTCTACTGTGAGATCCTTCCCCTTTTCGTATGTTTTGCGTTGTCTTTGTTGTAATGGATGAACATATGAAGAGACTATGATTTACATAGTTCTTTATGGATTTTCTTAGATAATCTAGAATATCTAGCTACATGTATTTTCCTCTGAATAATATTAATAATAATGTTAAGTTTATATGAGGGCTCCTTTTTCAGATTCTGTATGATTCAATGGTGTGCACATTATATTTTTCGACTAAATGGAAGGTATAATTTCACCTATGTTGCTCAATCCATTTCTTCTTGCCCGACACATTTTTGGACATCACTACGAGGTTATGATCCTCTGATGACTCTCGGACGATATGGAAACACTTAGAAAAAATTAGCCGTACCAGTACCTGAAACTCGGTTGAGTCTGAGTAACATGAATTTTATTTTGCAGGTTCCAACTTTATCATGGTTTACATCAAGGAAATTTAATGAGGAAGCAGGATATGCTGCTATGAGGACATTTGCACTCCTTGGAGCTGGCATTTCAGGTTTTCTAGGATTTGCAACCATAGCATCGGCTGAACCCAGGTTAGAAGTTCCTAATTATCCTTGGCCTCACAGCGACAACCTCAGTTCATAGGACCATGCTCCGTGAGTTTTATGCCTCTCCTTAACTGAATTGACTTAATAAGGTTATCCAAATGTGAATGTTAATAATCCTGTACAAATAGCCGGAGCTTGACTGCCATCCTATTAATTAAGTCCAAGATACTACAGTGTTTTAAAATTTTGATGCTACAGTGTTTTTGATATTAGGTTGATCTTGGATGATCAGGATTCGTCGTGGTCACCAGGTTTACCAGCAAGTGTGTGCATCCTGCCACTCTCTGTCTCTAATATCATACTGTGATTTGGTGGGTGTTGCTTATACAGAGGAGGAGACAAAGGCTATGGCTGCCGAGATTGAGGTGGTTGATGGACCTAACGATGAGGGTGAGATGTTTACTCGTCCCGGTAAACCCAGTGATCGTTTTCCTCAGCCATATGCGAATGAACAAGCAGCTAGGTTTGCTAATGGAGGAGCTTATCCTCCGGATCTAAGTCTCATTACCAAAGTAGTTCTTGCCTCGATTTTTAGATCAATGTGGAAATTATGGTCTATATATTACTGTGGTATCTTACATTTTATTCTTTCAGGCTCGTCATAATGGCCAGAATTATGTGTTTTCTCTTCTGACTGGTTACCGTGGTCCTCCTGCTGGTGTCACAGTAAATTCTGCTTTAGTCTATCTTGTATAACATGACATTAAAAACACCAGAAGTTGGATATCTATTTCTCCGTAGAGAGATACTGTAGGTGATCATATCTAGATATTTGGCAGTTGGGTGGATCGGATGTGCTTTGAAGTCGGAATGAAACTTTATGGCTTTCCAATGAGAAATGCTATGGCTTGCGGATGCAGCTATAATTATGAAATTGAACATTGTTTTCCCCTTTACTATAGTTTTTTCTGTTTAAGTTTTGCATGCATGCAACATAAATTTACACCTTGTTAGGCTAAATGTGTCCGGTCTCCGATAAATATTTTTTTGTTGAAAATAAAAACTAGGGTCGTCATTCTCCAACTTTTTAGATTCGAGAGGGGTTACACTATAACCCGTACTTTCCCGGGGGAGCAATTGCCCTGCCTAAAATGCTTATAGACGGTGCTATGGAGTACGAAGACGGCACTCTTGCAACTGAGGCTCAGGTTGGTTTCTAGTTCTTTTTGTTCCATTTTGAGAACCCTCTGATGTATTTGCACATTTTATGGGGTACTACACGGCTCACACTCTCGTATCGTTATCGTATAGATGGGGAAAGACGTGGCTACATTTTTTTCGTGGGCAGCAGAACCGGAAATGGAAGAAAGGAAGCTGGTGCGTATTATCATACCGATTGATTCATCGAATGACTTAGACTGACCTTTGTTTTAACAGTTTCCGTTGTCTAATGCACAGATGGATTTTAAATGGATTTTCGTATTGTCGTTGGCATTGCTTCAAGTCGGTTATTACCGGCGCCTGAGGTGGTCTGTTCTCAAATCTCGCAAGCTGATCGTCGATGTTGTCAACCAGCCACCCTCCGATTTCTCTCATGCTAGTTTGTTTCTTGCGGATTCGGCTATAATGGATTTTGAGATGATCTAGGTTCTGCTTTGTGACCAGTGTGCTGGTTATTTTCTCAGCTGCTATTGCCTATTGGAGTGATCTGAAGCACAGCCTTCATACGTTAAGTTCTGCTTTGAGTCTTGAAAATTCTGTTTATATTTTTCTTTTCGATGAGTTAAGTTTTGTTTATTAGTAACAATATTATTACAATTTAAAATATGAATGTGACAGGTACATGACTGAGAAATTCAACACAAAAAAAGGTATTAGTAAAAATTTGTATAAATTTATTATACCTCTTGAATATAAAAAAACATACAAACATATGACTTGACCCGAAATGTGAAGGATACA